TTATTAGTCTTCCTTCCTTATGCAGTTCTGAGACTGAGGCATTTACGGACACCGGGAGTACTTTCTGTAGTTAGTCTAACCCATAACACAGCGCTTTGAGAGACTCATAATATGGCGTACAGCCATGTAGGCGTGATGTGGTGTGCTGCAGTTTTTAAGGGACTCGTTGTCCCTTTAAGAACTACAACTCCCACGGTCGGCCTATGTGACCCGTTTAGGTAATCACTGGGCTTAAGCTTATGTAGCCGAATGTCCCGGTGTGACTTGGCCGTGTTCCTCCTCTCTGAAGTAAGGATAGTTTATCGATCCGTTGGTTTAGGGGGCTGCAGCCTGTCTCTGCCGTATCTGCCGCTGTGGAGGAGGCGCTACTTGCTCTACAGGTTGGTACACTACAACACCATCTGAAAGCAGACCTGCAGGCCTTCGGGAGTCAGTGCGTACTTTGATGTGGTCCTGTAGGGATCTACAGTGTCTGCAATACTCACAGTGTACTGTAATGTATGTTCAGTTTGGATGAGTGGCACATTAGTCAAATACTGTGTTTAACCACTGTTTTGAGGTACTTATATTGAGTATCATAAGTTTGTGCTATCTAGACAAATTCAGAAATTCGGATAGAAAATTCAAGCACCCAATATTCAAAATATTGAATCTAATCATCCTTGATACTAAGGATGAAACATTTAAGGTTGCTTCCACTAAGGCACCAGTAATAATGAAACAATATTATGAAGGGTATGATGGGGACATTCTAAATAATGAGTACTTTGATTTTGGTGATAATACTTTTTCCTTCTACTTGAGTAAAATTCTGAATGCAGCATTTTTTTCAAACTTGTATCTGGATCAGATACTTCTTCCACCACTAGTGATACACAATATGCATACTTTTGTTCTATAACTTACATTACATTTAAGCCACAGTGTCAGTAATATGGTGTGTTGTATACTACAACTCAAGTGTCTAAATTAAATTCACATCATCACTAAAAACTAACAGCTATATCACTATCACACACTGGGGTAGGACTGGATTTCCAAAATTGTTATTATTTTATTATCATGTTGTGCATCTCATCAAGTGTGAATGAAAGGCCTCTATAGATGAAGCACTAAGCTTGCTGTTGTAGGCAGATAAACATTCCAGGATATGTAAATCAGATTAGAGCCAATATAATCTGTGAACAAATGGCCTCAGTGGTGCCTCACAGAGGCAACATTCAATGTGATTTAATTTCTTAGAGGACTGACTATTTTGCACCAGCATTCAGTGACCATACATGGAGAAATACAGATGTTAGAGACTTGAAAATAGTAGCAGAGATACCAACTGCCTCTTATAATCCAAATCAGCTGCTGGATTTGTTGCATTTTGAGCAAACAATGTAAGTCTTGTTTTTATTGACTTTAAAATCATGGACACATTCAGTTCCATTCTCTGGTGATTCTTAGTAGCTCAGGAACTGAAATAAATGTACACATGGCATATTAGAGAACATTTAATCACAGAAAAATTGTTCCTTGTACAGAATGGTGATAACAGTACAGTTACTTTAATTTCCCTGTTTGCAGGATTTTTTTGACTGAGTGAGGTCTGAGGTCAAAGAGCCATGGGAACCAGGAGGGTGTTGGTAACCGGGTGCTCCTCTGGCATTGGCTTGGCTGTGGCTGCACGGCTGGCCAAGGATGAGCTTAGACGGTTTAAAGGTCGGCCACTCTCTTCTCAACCAAAACAGAGTAGACGATAGAACTAACCACAGCTACTGACAGCCACTGTGTTTGTTGTTTATCTGAGGCAGTGGTTGCCACAATGAGGGACCTTAGGAAAAAGGGGCCACTGGAGAAAGCGGCAGGTGACACCTTAAACAAAACCCTGGAAATCAAACAGTTAGATGCCTGCTGTGAAGCCTCCATCAGAGAGTGTGTCGACAGCCTGCCGGACAGACGAGTGGACGTTCTTGGTCTGTCTCCTCTCATTCACATTCCCACTCTTCACTGTTTAAGAGTTAAAGATCTCTACACAAGCATATAATGATGTAGGATACTCTGCTGTTATAGTGAACAATGCTGGCGTTGGCATGGTTGGACCACTGGAATGTCAAAGTATCGCTGCCATGAAGGAGCTCTTCGACACAAACTTCTTCGGCCTGGCACGGCTGGTGAAAGAGTTGCTGCCTGACATGAAGCGGAGGCAGAGTGGCCATATTGTGGTGATGAGCAGCGTCCTGGGAATACAGGGTGTGTTCGCTTGTGTCAGTACAATTTCAGATGAAGCAATTAGAGAATGTTGCTAACAGTTTTCCTTTTGTTTCTACACAGGCCTTCTGTTCAATGACGTCTACTCTGCCTCCAAATTTGCTGTGGAAGGATTTTGTGAAAGTCTGGCAGTGCAAGCGATGAAGTTTAACATCAAGTGATTGAAAAATACATTAGCCTTAACAATTTAATGCAGTAAGCGCACAATGGTAGGATTTTTACAACTCATTGACTGTAATGGAACGGTGGTCCTATGTATCTTTTTTTTATGTCTCTGTCACAAGGACGACTCTAGTGGAACCTGGCCCTGTGGTAACAGAGTTTGAAAGGAAAGTCTACGAGGATATTGAAAAGATGGATCTATCAGGGACAGACGAGGAAACCGCCAAAATCTTACGGGAAATTTATCTGCCATACTCTAAAAAGATCTTTGCCTCATTAGGCCAGACACCAGAGGAAGTGGCTGAGGCAAGTGATGACAGTTATGTTCCTAGTTGAGTTCAAAAGGTCACTAAAAATAATTTGTTTTGCCAGTGAAAATGCATAATGTGGAAGCCCCCTTGAGTGTTGAGTTTTTTTATTTTCTGTTTTTTTTATTTAGCAAACTGTTAAAGTGATCACAGCCAAGGAGCCACCTCTGCGCCACCAGACCAACCGAGTATACATGCCCATGACTGCACTAAAGCATGCAGATCCAACTGGACGGCTACCCCTGGACACCTTCTATAAAATGATCTTTAAACATGATACCATATTTAATGCTACTCTTAGGGTGCTTCGCATGCTGCAGAGGCGGACAGGGAAGGAATAAAGATTTCACTGCCATTTTACACACTATAAATGTTATTCTTACGGAGATAGTGAGTGAATGTGGTAGCTACAACCTGTTGTTACCGTTTTTTAAGCATAATGTGAAGTTTCGTTCTGAGCAGCAATGAGCATAACAAAGGCCATAGGTTGTTGTCTATACATACAGTAGTACACTAAGATTAATGTTAATTCCTCATGGTATTTATGAACTTCATTACTGTGAAATATAAGCAATATTCCATGTTTTGTTCTAATTAAGTATTAACATTATATGTTTTTCCCTTAATTTTAAGGAAAACAGGAGCTGGGCAATAAAAAGAGTATACAAATTTTTTGATTCTAACAAGAAGATTTGGTGTAATCTACTTGTTACAAAACAAGTAAAGTAGGAAGTAATAGTACCATACTATATATGATTTATCTTGGCAGACAGACAAAGTAACAAATAAATAAATTATATAATGTATAATGCAATAAAATGCATGATATTATAAATGAATAAATAAATTATTATATTTAAACGTAACAGAAGAGTATTCTTTACTGTTGGGTTTTCACTGCAGTGGCTTTCAGATAACATTTATATCCTTTTCGAGACACCTAGTCAAGTCCCATAGCTGCCTCATCAGGTTGTTGTTGATGCTGTAGCATTCTCCATACAACTGTTTTCCCAGGTAGGTCATCTAGGTCCAATCATAGCAATCTACCAAACTGCTGAAGTTAAGTGAATGATATGTAGCTACAAAAATATGCAATATCCTGTTCCCTTATATTTCATGAATCATAAGCAAAATGTCTTGTGGAAAAAATGCATGTTCTGGCGATTACGAACATTGTTGTTTTTTCAAACTCTTTTTCCTCAAACTGCCACTGAGATTGAATTATGAAACATTTTTGATGGTCCAAAACTAGACTCAAAGTGCACTGACATGTCCTGCGATGGGAGTGTAGTCTAAATAAACTGAAGCTGTGCATTAAACGTGATAAACGATATTTACTTTATAAATAATATTTCAACATACATACTGTCCACTTACCATCTTCAGAGACACTGCTCCTGCTGGGAAGATGCTGCACACCAACGATGACCAAACCTCTGCTGTACAAGTCATTGCAGCAATTAACTGGACAAAACACTGGGGGGCAGACTGTCACTTAGACCAAACTCATCATTATTGAAGCAGCACAATTTATGGTAATCCTAATATCTTCTAGCAGTCTGGCACCATAATTGACCAAATCTGGGTTTAATCTCCTTAGTGGCAAATTTAGTAGGCAGGAGTCAAGTCAGTGTGCAAATGCACATGCGCATTAAAGCCTTGCTGATTTTCTTGGGATTTGCTAATACCAGCTGTTGTTTGCAGCTAAAAATAAGATGAGAGCTCTCAATCCGTCCTTTGATTCAGAAAGAAGGGAATGTACAAGAATGAGGGATATTTTAACCCTCTCTTTCTATCCCTTTTTTGAGCTTAAGTTTAATTGGATAAACTACATTTGGATCGACATGGACACAATATTATGGGCAACTATATACATACTCTAATAATGAATAATAAATAATAATTATAGTTAAAATGTTGATGCGGCTCAAAAATATGTTCATTCATCGTTGTGAATTTGTTTAGGTTGTTGCTTGTGTTGGTGTGCAAAATAATTGGAAACCTAGAATATAATGCAGTCGAATACAATACAAAAATGACAATAAAATAATAACAATCTAAACTGTATTATTAAACAGAGAGGTTAAAGAGGTTCATTTATTGTGGGCGGATATACTGGAAAGAAAGAGTAACATTTCAGGCTATGAAACCGAATAATTCATCTTGGGTATCTGCATTTTCTGTTTTATTTTAATGGTTACGATTATGAGGAATAAATTAATGAACATCCTCCTTTAAAATATAAAACAATCACTAAACACGAGGACACAAAAATGTAGTTCCCTACAGTTTTTATTATAAGTAACTTATTTTACAACTTTTGACTGTAAAAAGAAAAACCGTGGAAAGGTTTTATGTACAATGATTTTGAACTACTTTTAAACAAGTATAGAAATTAATAATGACAGAAAATATCTATGACTGTTCTAACAACACAAGACCAATAAAATATCAGTCACAGCCTCAGCTTCAAATAATGCTAAATGAAGTACATTTTATTTTTGTCCTTTTTAGTACATAACAATCATTTTAGAAACATAAGACATCTCAAGCAAAGATCTACCCAGAACAAACATATTTACAAACAAAAGTTGGGAGGTTGAAATGTACAAAACACTTAGTGCGACCTGGTAGGGAAATTGAAAGACCAGTTATATATAAAAAATAAAAAACAAACAAAAAACAGAAGCTGAGTCTATAGTGAACAGGATAAAACAATGAATGACAGATAAACTCAGTCTATGACACAACTAGGGGCAGTGTTAGGTCACCAAAAAAGTAACAGCTAGAGGTGGTGGCCTACTCATTTCTGTTTACGATGATAAAAATGCAGTGATTACTTTCTCAAAATTCTACTGTTATCAATTGACTTCATGCTGAAATGTCCTCAGTACGTTAAGGAGAGGGTGACATCTATCCTACACACTCAGGTCATGTGGTGATAAAGAGTTGGTCAGACATTACACAAGGTTAGCTGGATGACTGGGAGGTGTCATCTCAGAATTTTGTAAAAGGTTAAAGGGCGCAGCACTACATAGTAGTGTTCTTTCCTTCAGTCTCTTCTAACAGTAATCTTAAGATGCAACTCCATGACCCCTGGACTGGAAGCCACTGTAGATGCAAGGGGAACCGTCCCACTGCATGCCATAAAACACCTCCCTGAGGAGTGACAGGGCATAAGCAGTCACAGCCCAGAAGGGATACGCTCACACTGACCACTACTCCACCACAGACACTACCAGAGATGAAGTGAGAGTGTCAACAAGATCTCAACTGCCACAGATAGTCCAGGAATGTTTCCATTTAGTCCAGTGAAGGACACAATGCAGACTCAACAAATTAAACTTCTACCTGTCTGTAAACTGGTTTGCCTGTGTTGGATGCTGCCAAAAGGCACAGCATCCAGACTCAACCAGTCAGCCATAATGGAGGAATGTTTACAGGGAAGAGTGATATAAAATAGCAGCTGATAAGCATAGCTTAGTACATCAGAAGTGATGTTAAAAAAGGTATCCATGGTCTTCACAAATACACAGAGTATAAAACAAATGGAACAAACAAACAAAAAAGGGCAGTGAGAGGCTGATTTTATAGGCAAAACAATTTTCTGTTTGAAACAGTTTCTTAAAGTGAATGAAAACGAGCTTCAAAACTGTCGGTATCAGGGCTGACAGTAGAACTGGTAAGAGACCTGTAGATTCAATGAGAAGCTATAGTTAAAATGGGAGCATTACACCTAAAACTTTACTTTGTTGATTTATTTTGAAAGGTCATGAGGAAGATGCCCCCAATATATCATAAATATCCATTGTAGTTAAAGGTTGTATTTGACCCACACTTTCCCCGGAGGCTGGTCACTTGAAGTGCTTCTGAGACACTCATCTACATTCTTATTCATAATACTCATATAGAAAATAATTAATTACCACAATTCAATCAAATCAGAACATATCACTACTGCTGAGCAACTCTTAATATATATTTTCTAGAACCAGTTTATCATCCTTACCTTTGCCTAAATAAATATCCATCAAGAGAGGTGAAAATTCCTCTTTCTGTTTGTTAACTGGTCTGAATGATGAGCTATATTCCTTTACCATCACTTGCCATACTGGCTAAATAGAAATGTAGGCCGTATAAAATAGGAGGGGCTGGCACATTAGGACAGAAAGAGCAGTAAAAAAGCATTTCAGAGAGATAAAAACAATAAATAAAAATAAATGAATTCCCTTCAACAATTTACTTTTTTTCTCGTCTACTTTTTAAATGTTTGTTAGTTTCCAGGAGAGCATCCCTAAGTCTTTGAAATGAAAGACTTGGTTTTCTTCATATACTTTTTTATAATAAAAAACAAGTCCATCTGTGACAGAATTACTTCATTAATTTGTCTGCTGTTTTTTCAGACAACACACATTTCCCTTTACTTTTTTTCTCTGCAGAAATCACTAGCAGACGGTCCTCGTGATAAACAAAGTCAATCCAAATCCAATGAAAATCTTGGAAACAGGCTGACACATAAACACAGACAGGCCAAAGAGCCAGTCCACAAATTCTTTTACCCCAGGTCCCTTTTCATGCAGGGGCCATGAGATCTTCACGCAAACACCTGCATCTTGCCATTGGGCTCTGGGATTTGAGTAATTTGGGTCTGGGCAGGGCCAGCAACTGCTGGGCTGGGTGTGGAATCTGACCAGTCGGAGACGCAGTGAGGGGAGGGGCTAGACCAGGGCTCGGGAGACTCTGGGGAGGGGGTCAGGTAGGGGTGCTCACTGGGCAAACGGAGGTAATGCTTGGGCGTGGCATCCAGTGCGGATGAGTAGCTGTGCTGGGAGGGAGGGGTTGGGTAATCCTCCGTTCCTGCAGTGCTGCCACTAGGCTGGGAGGGCATAGCCTGACTGGGCTGGGCTGCTGGTGTGGCTGCTTGTGGGGGCTGAGCAGGAGGCTGGGGCTGAGAAGGTTGCTGAGGCATCTGCTGCTGCTGGAAGAAGGATGGTGGGGGCTGGGAGGTCTGGGGTGTTGGTGGGGTGGAGGTGCCCATGCGGGCCATGCTTTGCTGGCTGGTGATGGTGTGGTTGATGAGCTGCTGCTGCTGCTGTTGTTGTTGCTGCTGCTGCTCAGCAATGGAGGGCAACTTGACTGGGCTGATAGTTGGTGTGGAGGTAACAGGTGTGGGCTGCAGCATGGGATTACGGTAGATCTGCTGCTGATGCATTAGCATGTTTTGCTGCTGCATGGCTGGGCTCTGGGGGTGCATGCCTGCCTGACTACTCTGCACAAGATTCACCACCTGCTGACCACACTGTGAGGAAGGGGTCATCCGGTTGTGCCAGTCAAAGGGCACACTGACAGGACTGACCATGCCCATGTTGATCCCCATCTGGCCTGAACTCAACACATAGCCATGGTTGACATCTGAAGCCATGGAGACGCGTCCCTGCAATGACATTCCTCCAGCTCCCAGGTCATTGAGTTGGGCTAGAGACACAGCAAATGGGCCACCTCCCTCCAACATGCTACTATGTACCATTGGGGTGTTTGGGACAGACATGGAGGAATGGTAGAGCCCTGGTGACTGCATGGCCACAGGGGAAGTGGGGTTGGTGATGTACCCAGCATTGCTAGCTCCCCCGTGCGGTGAGTCCAGTGAGTCCACTGGGGACAGGGTGACGGAGCTCTCCAGTAATGCACTCTGCATGTCCAAGGTCAGCTTCTTATTGCGGGCCTTGACTGACTCCTTCAGACTGGCAGCATGTTGACCTCCCAAGCTAGAACCCTTGGCCCCAGGCCGACGGTTCTTCTTGCCTTGTGGGGTGTTCTTCAGACTAGGTAGGAAGGCACTGGGGGGGCACATGAGAGGAGACAGAGTGTGTCCCCCACTGAGGTGGTGTCCAGCCCCACCATGGCCCTGGGGACTCCTTACTGTGTTGTACTCATCAAGAAGCTGCACAATGTCATGGTGCATACGCTCCTGAGCAATGTCCCTTGGCAACCTGTCCATATGGTCTGTGATCTCTCTGTTCGCAAAGTGAGCCAGCAGCACCCTCACAGCCTCACAGCTGCCTTCACGAGCTGCGAGGAACAGAGGGGTCTCCTCCTGAAAAAAAAAAACAGAGCAACAAAACAAACAGAGGCAGTGTTAGTCACAACTATATTTCTATTTAGGCCATGCTGATGTAAAAGTGTGGTCAAAACAGTACAAGTGGACATCATACCTTAAGATCTTGCATATCTTTGTTGGCACCATTCTTCAGCAAGGCAATAGTGGCATCCACATTGTTAACTGCAGCAGCCCAGTGCAAGGCAGATTTACCTAAAAGACATGATAATCAATTAGATTACATATCTGGTTTCAGTAAATATTAGCACAAAACAGGAACATCTCCTTCAGGGCATTCACTTGAGTGAAAAATTACACACTTACCCAATTCATCAACTGCATTGACATCAGCATGACAAGTGATGAGTTCCTCTACCATGCCCTCTACTGCCAGCCGTGCTGCCAGGATCAGTGCAGTGGAGCCATCATACATACGAGAGTCAAGATCTGTAGCCCGGTTTCGTATCAGAATCTAGGAGGGTGGAAAATATTTGGTTCAATATTTTAACTTATACAAAACATACTAAAAAATAAGTTGTAATCATTTATACCACAGATTTTGCCAATAAACAGACTACGTTGATGTTTGTTTACCTGGAAGACACCCTGTGCATCTGCAGCCACTGCAGCATGTAGCGGCGTACGTCCTGTGTTGTCCTGAGCGTTGGCATCTGCCCCGGCGTCAAGCAGCCTCTTGGCGGCATCAGCACGGGCATAGCGGGCAGCTAGGTGAAGCGCTGTCTCACCAGTGCGGTCTGTTTGGGCAGCAAGGGATGCGCCCTGGTAGATTAGGTCAGAGATGATGTTGGCTGAACACTCCTCACTCTCCTCCTCCTCCGCTACCTCAGGCTCTAAGCCGCCACCACAGAATGACGCCAGCATCAGAGGAGTAAATCCATCTGGTAGGAGATGAAAACAGGCATGGGTGAGTTTATGTATATTCAAATACTCAATATAACAGCTCATACCAAGAAATTAATCTTATTGATTATTTCACTACCAACCTGGGCCTCGGACATTAACATCCATGCAGTCACTTTCAAACTCTCCTTGAGGTGGGGTAAGGGCCATGGTGGGAGGCACACGAATGTCTGCTGCTGCAAGGTGATGCTGTGTCCACTGTCTGCTGTCCACTGCATCTTCACTGTCTGACAGCATACTTGGCTCCTCAACCTGAACTCACAGAGTTTCAATACTTTCAATAAATGACTACACAAAGGCCGAAATGCTGAAAATGTACATATACACCCTGGTGCAAATGTATGTAAATTGATGAGGACAATTTATTATTGTAAAGAAGTTAAGTAACTAACCTTGAGCCTCTTTGCCTCTGGGCAGTCTGAGTCCATCCACTGGTCACTGTGATCTCCAAGAAGAGATTCCTCCACAGTTTTTGGCATGTGTCTGTTTATAAATGAATATGTTAAACAATGTAAGCACAAGTAAACAACTTCAAAACCAGTTCTTAAACTCTGTTCCAAACTCTACTGCTAAAATAAAACCAGTCCCAAAGGCATCATTAATGCTAACAACTGCACACAAATAACTCACTTCATTCCCAGAGCATCCTGTCCCACAGGTTCCCTGCGGTTCTTGTTGCTGCTGGGTTCCTTCTTGAGGAAAAAGCCCTCAGGGAACCAAAGGGTACTGTGTTCTCTCTTTCTTCGAGCAATCAACATGCCAATCACAAGGATGACCAAAAGGAAAAGAGAAGCTATCCCGACCAGCATCAGCTTCACCCATTCAGGTAAGATTACATCGTCTGTCCTATTTTCGCCTATATTGGGTAGAGAAAAGTAGTCATTACACATTTGTTCCTCGTTTTTTACTAGTTCATTCTGTGTTCTTTAAGTATCCCTACTCACCACGGGCTTCTATTAATGGGTAAGGGAAGCGGAGCATTTCTACAGCTGAAAGTGCTCCCAGGTACTCTGCAGCATTTTTAGCTGTAGGGAAACAGTCCACAGAGCCCTGAGAGCAGAGACGGTTGTCTATTTCCAGGTATACTATCGACCTGCAGGAATAGGAAAAAGGCAGATGTTTAGTGTAATGTACAATGTACATGACAGACTTCAGCTTTAATGTACAGCGTACTGTATGCCTGACTGACCCAATAACCTCCTGATGAGGCTGTAGCTCCCGCTTGAGACGTGCTTCTTGGCGGGTGTAGGGGCGGATCATGGCTTCACCATTGTTGTCCAGCCGAAAGCGCAGTGAAGTGTGTAGGATAGCACTTAATTTCTGCAGAAAAGCTGTGCTGGTGCGAAGAAGCTCCTCTGGTGGCAGTAGGACAACCAAAACCAAGACACCATCAGCCAGGTGTTCTGGAACCTTCACTGCACAGTCCAAGCCATCCCAGCCACACTCCTCTGTGTTGCAGCCCTGGTCACACTGTCCATCAGCATAGTGGTCGATACAGTAGGTTTCATATATTGGACTGGAGACAACAAAAATAGAAGGATCAGTTTAAGTTTTCTCAGATTGGTAAAGAAACAAAGGGACATCCTGTTAACAGCGAAAATAAACTCACTTGCAAACTTTCTCTTTGTTTCTGCAGTCAAAGTTGTCATACAGACATTCAGCGTTGTTGCAGAACTCATCACACTGACTGTTGTTGAAGACACGCCAACAGCGAGGGTCTGTACAACGAGCCCAGGGGTTCACTGCTAGAGAACAGTCACCGCCGTCCCAGCGACAAAGGAACGTGTTACATTCCTTGTCGCAAACACCATCAGTGTCTTTTCCCTGACATTCTGGTAGAGGGCACGAGGGTTTCGGGGGCTCAAGGATTCTGATGCCCAGTTCACACCGTTTACCTGTCCAGTCATTGGGACACTGGCAGTGGAAGAACGGGAAGCTGGTTTCTTCAGTGCACAAACCCCCATTTCGACAGGGTTGAGAGGAGCAACCTTCATTACTGCGATGCTGACACTGGGGCCCGCCATAACCTGGCAAGCAGGTGCAACGTGCCCCCCTTGTGGTAAGTGCACAGCTACCTCCATTGTAGCAGGACAGCTCTCGACAGGACATGCTTCTTTCACAATTGGGCCCAGTATATCCCTAAAGACAGACATCATTAGACTTAGATTGTGACGTTTCAAAACACAAACAAGACTACAGACTAAAATATCAAATGAGGTGTTCAAACCATTAATGTGAAAGTACACTTACAAGCTGACACGTGCAAGTGTATCCCAGTGCAGAGATACTGGATACAGAACAGGCTCCTCCATTCTGACAAGGCTGGGACTCACACACACTGAACCTGCTCTGGCACCTCCGTCCTAAAAACAAGATATTGATGATAAAGCTCTACAATTGGAAGAAAATATTTTACACAAAGAGAATTCACAATAAGATGCCATGGGTATGCTCCAGCTGTCTAACCTGTGAAGCCAGGCTTGCAGACACATTGGTAGTCATTGGGCAACTGGATGCAGTCAAGACTGTTGGAGGGATTGCAAGGGTTAGAGAGACACTCATTTATGTCTCCCTCACATCTCTCTCCTGTGAATCCAGGGGGGCAATTGCAGCGGTATCCACCCACTCTGTCCACACAGGTGCCATTATTCTGGCACTTAGGAGGAGCACTGCGCAGCCTCAGGGGTGGAGCACAGTCATCTTCATTGATCTCACAGAGAACACCTTTAAAAAAAGGAGAATATTATTAGATACTACTTTTCTATTCACATGTAGTTAAATATCTATAATAATAAACAAGTTTTCTGTTGAATATGTGCTTGCGTACCCAGTGTTCCAGGAGGACAGGAGCAGATATAATGTCCCACCAGATCAATGCATGTGCCTCCATTCTGGCAAGGATGAGACTGGCACTCATTGATCTCTATCTCGCAGTTCTGTCCAGTATAGCCTGGCATACACTGTAATGACATACACATGACAATTAAATAATCTCCACAACTGTAATGAAGCACTATGTGAATACTGACTTCTCTGCAATTTGACAGAAGCACACAATATTGACAAAGCAATGGACTCACGTCACACTGGTACCCTCCCACATATCCCCTGCAGGTGGCGCCATTGCGGCAGGGTTTGTCTTCACAATGGTCTACTTGGCTTTCGCAATAGCTTCCAGTGTAGTCAGCAGGACATTTGCAATAGTGGGTATTCCCACTGTTGACACAATGACCTCCGTGGTGGCAAAGGTCATCCGTCTGGAGCCCTGATTAGAATGATTTGGGAGAAAATTTTATTTGATGACTCACAAACATGAGCCAAAGGTTCAAATATCATCATGTACAAAACAAAAAAATACCTCTCTGGCGAGCAGCTGTCTCACAGGACACCCTAGGGATGTCACAGTAGCGTCCAGACCAGCCGTTAGTACAATCACAGATGAAGGAAGCATCCTTTTGGCGACAGCGTCCTCCATTTTGGCAGGGAGATGAGCGTCTACACCAATCGAATGGAGTCTGGGTAGGCAAGAGGCAGATAGAAAAAAATGTCAGCATTTACGAGTCTAAACACTTAATGCTATGAAGACTTAAAACCTTAACAAGATCTTTTAAGAGTGTCTGTGAGTGTTTGTGTACCTGGCAGCGATTGCCCATGTAGCCCTTGGGGCAGGAGCAACGGAAGGACTCCAGCGCATCTTGACAGATGCCTCCATTAAGGCAAGGCTGGGAGTCACACTCGTTGACCTCGTACTGGCAGTGGGAGCCAGTAAAGCCTGAGCGGCAGGTACAGGAATAGCCGTTGATTTTATCTGCACATGTTCCTCCATTGAAGCAAGAGCTGTCGATATGATTAGAAATATGTATTTATTTTCAAGTTATTGTTATAGTCAGCAGTTAAATGCATGCGCAGGTTGATGAAGTACAACATGAGATATCTCCATGACTCAAACACACTCACCTTTCAGTGCAATCAGGGATGTTGGTTTCGCAGTGGATGCCGGTAAATCCAGGCCTACAGGTGCAAGTGTAGGAGTTAACATAGTCTGTGCATGTGCCTCCATTTTTGCAGGGGGAACTCTGGCATTCATTGATTTCTAAAGCACAGCGGGGCCCAGTGAAACCTGGCAGACAGCTACAGTGGAAGGAGTTCACACCATCTGTGCAGGAACCTCCACTGAGACATGGATCTGATGACACAAAAGTAGAGGACAACTTTGGTCAAGTACAGTAAATGTACACAGACCTGGCATTGGGTTTGACAGCCACAGACAATTATAGTAATTCAGCACACTAACTCTGTATAGCCACTTACTTGGAGCACAGTCATTGATGTCTGTTTCACAGGTCAGCCCAGTGTATCCAGCTCTGCAGGAGCACAGGAAGCCTCCAAGTGTGTTAGTGCAGGTCCCACGGTTCTTGCAGGGGTTTGAGATGCATTCATTCACATCTATGTTACACAACTGACCTGCAGAACGCAAAATAAGTGTAAAGTTTAACTCAAGATCATTTATGCATTAAGACTTTTTGTAACATCATCTCACAATAGATGAGCAGGCACTGAGATGATAAGTAAAAATTTTGCTAACCTTGCCACCCTGGCTGGCAGTTACATTGATAGCCCAAGTAGTCTGGTGTGTGTGTGCAGACGGCATGATTGGCACAAGGGTTAGGGGAGCAAGGGGTGAGGACCTCAGCGCAAGTGTGTCCACTGTAAGGAAGTTCACACAGACAGGTGAAACTTGCCACACCATCCACACAAGTACCCTTGTTCAGACAGGGACTGGATGCACATTCGTTGATGTTCACCTGGCAGAGGTTACCTATTGGAGGGACAGAGAATACATTAAAACACATAACAGAACAGAAATTTGATGAGCGTGAGACTTGGCCTGAATGTATTTACACATTTTTAATACACCACTAGGGGGAGGTAGAAGATTGTCATTCAGGAAGCAGACAACATGGAGAACATGGTAGGAATCTCTAAGACTAAAAGGTGTCTATGAAGTCTGTAAGACACTCAGTTAGAAATTAAATTACTGCATGTGCTGCATGTGTGTATTCTTTTCTTTCTATTGTACTTTCTTTGATGTTGATGTCTCCAGTGGTTACTGTGTGTCATGCTATTATGCCACCCACTCACCTCTGAAGCCTTGGCGACACTTGCAGGTGAAGCCATTGAGCTGGTCGATACATGTGCCAGCATTCTGGCAGGGACTCGGCAAACAGTCATTCCTGTCCAGGTCACAGTTCTTCCCCACCCATCCGGGCTCACAGTCACAGCGGTAACTGGAAACACAGGAGTACAGTCAGCAATAATGTAATGATGCACAAGTTGAAGCCTGTAGGATTAACAACAAGCTTGCAAGGTGCCTGTGCCAAGTTTCTCCTTGGTATCACATGTGAGTCACTTTAATTTGTGACAAAGACTGTAAACAATTCATACCCATTGATGTCATCCCTGCATGAGCCATGGATACATGGGCTGCTGCCACACTCGTCCACCTGAGAGTAACAGTAAGGGGGTTTGAAGCCCTCAGGACACTGGCAGTGAAATCCATTCTCTTCATCCACACATGTCCCTCCATTCCTACAGGGGCTAGATGCACACTCATCTATCTCCACATTACACTTCGGACCTGGCAGGAGAGATGTTAGACATAATCAAAGTGTGTTTGTCAACATTTACAGTGAGGCTCAATTTTTCCATCTCAAATTTGTGGATTCCTTTTCAGAGGGCCTTACCAGTGAAGCCAGGTTTGCAGACACAGTCATAGCGATTGATGCCGTCTTTGCAGATGCCATAGTCACATGGGTTACTGGCACAATCATCAAAGTTGATCTCACAGTTTGTGCCTGTGTTTGCAGAGAAGAGGTAGTTTTTACATTAGGCTTTTAGAAATATTAACATTTTAACAATGCTTCAGTATAGAAAATGTAAATGAGAATGATATGGTATTTTCATAATCAACAGTAACATGATTTGAGCATAGGATATGATTCAGCCTACAGTTGCAGTAAATTTTTGAGTGAATTTTTTCCTCTCACCTGAAGTTCCATGTTGGCATTGACAGATATATTTGTTGACCAGGTCCACACACTTGCCCCCATTCTGACAAGGGTTGCTGTGGCACTCATTAAGCTGGTTCTCACAGCGATAGCCAGTGTAGCCAGCATCACAGTTACAGGTGTAGCTGGCAATACCATCTATGCAAGTACCATGGTGGCATGGGTCAGGCTGACAGTTGTTGATATTACTCTCACAGAGTGTCCCTTCATAACCTAAAGAGGACAAAAAGCATAAGCAGAGATTGGTGTTAAGGATCTGGTCATTTCATGCAGAAAAAGTTCAATCTTTTGTTGTCCGACAACCTAACCATGGCTTTTCTTTTTCCATTACATTCCATTTCCATTTTTCATTATTTCATTGTAATTCCCATGAGTTTTCAGTTGTTTTTTTTTTTTTATGGACATTCATCTTTGTTATTATGCTGAACTTTCTGTCTGTTTCCCACTTTTTCTTTATAAAAGCTTCTACAGTTTTGGGCTCTGATCATTGTGGTTTCCATGTCGACGGTGTCTGTGTGTTGGGAAAGTAAGTGTTGGTTTGTGTGGTATGTGTGTAGTGCAGTGCTGAGTTGGGCAAAGCAGTAAAAAAGGGCCCTACACAGGCCTCCCAGTCCTGCTTTTGTTCACAGTGGTGAGGGAACAATAGACTGCACCACGTCAAACAGGGCCACTTCACTCAACAGAAGGGGCCCACAAACACAGGGAATACCAAGCAGCTGGCCACTGAAACAATGAAGCAGGCTCCTCCGTAGGCACAGGTCCAAATAAATATGTTAAATATCAATGTATATGCACAGTCAGCTCATACATGCAACACAGCCTTTGTAATAAACTTTATTAATACTCTGTATCTGGGCTTGTTTTCTAACATGGACATGGATGAATGTAAAGGAATTTAAGTTAAAATGCAGCATAAGGTGGTGTGTGGGGGTTTAAGAGATGAACAGATGTCGGGGTGATGACCAAGGCTCCTTTCTTGGCAACTGCTGGTCCTCAGTGACCCTATGATCCTGAGAGCCGATGAGGGAAAGAGTGGGATTAGGGGCCTCAAGTCAGTCTGCTTGGCCAGCAGACATCCAGAGAAATAGCTGACCCCCAAAACACTGAACATTTAACAATGACCAAACACGGTCCAACAAGTGGTTAAAGCTCATTGGCTCTTCTGCCTGGGAAGACATCTTAAGTAGTGTACTATCTACCAACTTTAAGGTACAGAAGCCCTTACCTTCAGCACAGCGGCACTCGAACCCATTGGGCCTGTCGTAGCACTTTGCTCCATTCTGGCAGGGTGTGCTGGCGCACTCATCTATGTCGATCTGACACATGGTGCCGGTAAACCCTGGGACATACAAACACAGAGGCGAAGGGTCAGAAAGAAGGTCCAGTGGAAGGGTCCATGCCCAGGTCAGAGGGCAGTTCTGTCTCTTCTTAGAAGGGCAGAGGTCTTTGGGTAGGTTAGTGACGTCTGGCTAAGGTTGGGTTTGAGGCCGTCTTGACTGGTTAAGGACAGGTCATCTGTGCACTTGGACCAGTGCTGAGATGACCACAACGAAATGCACTGGAAGGTCTGTGACCTTGATAATGTTTTTGAGGAAGGACTTATAATAAAGTGCATGCAAGAAATCTGAGTAAATATGGTTATCAGGTGGTATGGAATATCTGGCCAGTGTGGAGAAACAGATCCTATAATGGACAATAACGATAATCATAATAATAATACATATAAAGTACTAGCTTCGAAAGCTTGAGAAACTGAGCAGGCTTGAAATCCATGGGCACAGTGCCCAGACGGGTGAATTGGTGCATTGGTAACACACTGCTCAGTTGATTAACAGTGTCAAGATGGTCTGTGTGTTGGTGCTTGGGCTGCAAAAGAGTGGGGGGGAGGAGGAGGTTCGAGGAGACGGTGGGATTGTTTTCTCTTTTAGGGAACCCCCCCTTCCTGCATCAGCTCCACCGGCTCAATAGCTAGATGGGGGGTGGAGGGGGGACGTCTGTCCCAGATGTAAATTGCGGACCTGGAAAAGAATCTCATTAGCAGGACTGCTGTTCCCCACCACCACCAGGGTAGGATGAGGGAGACTGCTGTCCCTTCCACATTCCACAGAGGAGGGGTGCGGGGATCACAATAGTGTCTTTGTTCAGGCAAGAGGAGAGGATAGGCAGCCTTTTGGGCCTGCCTTTTTATGAGTGGTGGCTCTAAACAGCAACAGGCAGAAGTAGCGAAGCTGAACCTCCCTCCTCTGGTTCTGGGGACATTTAAACCATGGCTTTCTGTTCCTACTGCTGCTGTCACTGAGTTGAAGTTGTTAACAGAAGCAGAAATAAACACAGGGGATAACAATAAAGATCAGTCAAAAAAGTGTTACCTGGCTGGCAGGTGCATGTGAAGCCATTGACCATGTCCCGACAGATGCCATCATTCACGCATGGGTTGCTCTCGCAGTCATCTACATCAATCTCACAGTATGTCCCCATGTAGCCTGGAAAAAAGTCCAAACTGAATTTACATACATTTTTGCAGCTGAAAGAGATTCACTATGTTGAGTTTTTATGTACGGGTATGTGAATTCAAGCCAGCATGGTGTCCATGTGATTGTGTGTACTGTTTGCGATGGGAAAAGTATCTGTGGGAAACGTTTCTCTCATGGGAGTCCTTGGTTTTTGACTCTGGTTTCTGATGAACCACAGGATGGAATAAAAGATCCCCAGACCATCCCCAGTGTTCCCACTCTACTGACCTGAAATCACCACACCCTACTGTCCATAGAGCATTACCCCTCCCTGGGTCAGTGTCCCATTCACCAGATGCATGTTATACATTCTGTGTTAGCAAACTATGAAGGGCTCCTTCACTGAGGTGAAACAGAGTGTGGATCAGAGTGCAGCCCCTGGGGAGAGGCTAGCGTGGAATCAGAAATAATCAGCAGCTCCACATGAGCTTTGCCAGGCTGGCTGATGATGAGGAGGGTGAAGAGGAAGGGCCTGTCTCTGGAAATGAAGGGGGAGGGGGGAGAGGCTCTGGGAAAAGGCCTCTTTCCCTCTCTGTGTGTATGAGGGGTGCAAAGTGGAGCACAGAGGGGCCCTATTGTTCCGCTCCATTCCCACCACTCTACCACTCATTAGTATTCACAGCACACTCCTCCCCCTAACTGCTGGCCCTCTCTCACATCCAGTCCTATAGACCCGACTCCCAGCTCTAATTTGTATAGTTCCCAAAACCCCAGGATGCATGTAGGACTGTGCGTGAGAGTTTCACTGTGTTTTTGTCACTGAATGTCCAAACCATCACTTAGTCCAAACTAATACCCTGTCTGGCCTGTACAGTGCACTGAGAGTAGAGCAGTCTCTATACCCCCATCGTCAATGGGAATGTATTACATAACAGTCTACACTGGCAGTCAGTATGGAAGCACTGTAGATAATGCTAATTTAGAAGGTCAAGTTTAAATAAACAGTTGTCCACTCTGCAACTGGTTTTGGGCTGTCCTATGTGAATGACATCAGGCTGAATTAAGGTTGTAATGGCTGTATTATTTTATTGCTGAAATACGTCTGCATACCTGGCATACAGATGCAGGTGAACTCTCCAATGCGGTCCAGACAAGTGGCATCATTCTGGCAGGGCATGGACAGGCATTCGTTGATGTCAATCTCACAACGTGGGCCAGCATACCCCCGACCGCACTGACACTGGAAGGAGCCCTCTGTGTTCACACATTTCCCAAAATGCTCACATGGGTTTGCACCTGCAGGTAAAGAGCAGCGGATCAGTACATGAACCGTACTCAAAGAAAAGATATGAGCCACAGCGCTAACAATCGTAAAAAAGACTTACCAATTGAACACTCATCCATGTCCTGGTTGCAGGCACCTCCTACAAAGCCAGCAGGACATGTGCAAATGGCGCGGCCGTTAAGGGGGTTGGTGTCACACACTGCGCCCTCATTGCAGGGATTACTCACACACGCATCATCAAGGTGGCACAGCAAACCTGTGGAGAAAGTGCAGAAAGAAAACACATTAACAATCTAGCAGTAAGAGCTAAGAGGGGATATGGAGGCCATTTGGTAAACCCATTTACCTGTCTTGCCAACTGGGCACTCGCAGAAGAAAGATGCTACACGGTCATGGCAGGTGGCACCATTGAAGCAAACTGCTATGGCGCAGTCATCAATGTTCTCACTGCAGTCATCTCCCGTCCAACCATTAACGCAAACACAGGTATGACCACCAATGGTGTTGAAGCAAGTACCCCCATTATGGCAGGCGTTTGGTTGCATGAGACACTCGTTGACATCCTCAGCACAGTATTGCCCTAGTGTGGTTAGGAGACATATTAGCTCTTGCATTCTCATCATGACATATATATGAGTTTGTTTAAAATATGATGTAAATAGACGTGTACCTGTCCACTCTGGTGGGCACTGGCAATTGTAGGTGTTGACTCCGTCCACACATATCCCACCATTAAGACACTTATGACTTGGACAGTCATCAACATTATTCTCACAGTTGTGTCCCTCAAACCCTGAGACAGATGGAGAAAGAAAAGAGTTATTACACGGACACAGTAACACACACAGGCGAGAGAGTTTTTTTTAAACATTCAGTGGTCCCTGTTCCGGACGCTAAACATTTCTGCTATTAACCTTGAGTGATATTTCCCACACTAGAGAGGTGGTATAGGGCAATGTAGGCAGTAAAAAGGTTCAGAGGGTGTCTGATTGTTTACATCTTCTCATGATGGTTCCCATATGATGCCAGCAACAGCCATGACTCCTGCCTGCTTCAGAGGTCCGCTCTCCCTGCAGTGTTTGCTTGTTTTATAATCTCTCACAGTTTCAATGACTTCCTCTCTGGCAAGAGACATTTCCTGTTAGCTCCCCAGTGGGAAACCAGAAGGTCCATAAAGTAAATTCCTTCTGTTGTGAACAGAGCAGAGTGGAGCAGACTGCCGGCAGGGCTGCCTCTTCAACTCTCCCACCATCCCATCTCCCATCAGTAGCTATTAATAGCACACAGGAAGCTGACCTGGGACATAGGAGTAAATCCCAGCAACAGCACTAAAACCTACGTCATCAGGCTGGGAAAATCTGTAGGCCTATAGTACTCTGTGGAGGGCCTGGGAAAACAGCAGGGTCTGTACACCAACTCTTATTTTGTTTGTGTGTGTGCATGTGTTTTCTAATATGCTGATGGAGAGATTTTTTACCTGGCAGGCAAGCACACTCGTAGGAATGGTCACTAGTCTGTCGACAGGTGCCCCCATTAACACACTGAGATGGGGCACAGGGAAGGGTGGACACCTCACATGTGCGCCCGCTATATCCAGGTTGGCACTGGCAGCGGAAGGACCCATGGGTGTTCATGCAGAGGCCACCATTGAGGCACACGGAAGGCTTGCGGCACTCATCAATGTCATTGCGGCAGTTCTTTCCCTGGAAGCCAGGTGGGCAGGAACAGTTGTAGTGGTTATTCCAATTGGCACAACGGGCCCCGTTGGCACAGGGGCTTGTGGCACAGGCATCAATGAGGGAGCAGTCTTGGCCTGGAGAAAGTGAATTGTATTCAGTTAAAATAGAAACTTTCAGTCTACCTTCTCAAATGTGATCTTTTTTTAATGAAGACAAATTGTGATATATGTGATATATGTACCTCTGAACCCTCTCTGGCACACACAGGTGTATTGTGGGATTCCATTGACCACTTGGCTCTTGCAAGCTGCTCCGTTCAGACATGGCGATCGATGACAGGGATCCAGGTGCTGACAGAGAGGACCAATGAATCCGGGACGACATCTAGAAAAACAAATTCACATGCACTCACACATTAGGATGTCTTAGTCAAAACAGGTCATAAGTTTACAAACTAAGGTATTAAAGACAGAGCTATGGCTCCAAATCCAGTGTAGCCCAATTGTAGCCCAATTCCCATCATGTTTGGGTTTGGCAATCAGGGCCCAATGACATCTTGGCTAGGCCTGCTGCCTGAGTCATACCTTGGCATGAGTAATGCTTCTGGGCCCTGGAATACATTTCTATTAACATTGCTTACCCCACAAGCACTAATCATGCAATACATTGTTCATGGAATGGGACACACATACACTCACAAACAAACTTTAAAATATAAAGACGGAGGGAGGCCATCTCTCTTTGTCTTATAGGCTTCACAAGGCACACACTCCTAATGTCAGCTAACATTCCTCCACTGTTACAGTTTTTCCGCACCTCAGCTCTTGTTTCTGTTCTCATATATGAAAATGAACACACCCAGAAACAGCAGTCTGGAAACTTAACAACTGCCAAAAAATACTGACATGAGAAAAATGAGAACTACACACAGCACACATGAAGTGAATAGGATAAGCAGCTGTGGTATTTGAATGAAACAACACATCCTCCTCCCAGTGACTATATACTTATAGAGTTGTGCATTATCTTGGTGAAACGCTAATGGTGGGTCCACATGTGAGGCGTTTAAGCTGTTTTTTAGTCATCTGTCTCGTGCACATCTGACAGGACAGACATCCTTCCAATACAGTTGCCTACACAGGCCATGTAGCGGCTCAACGTCACTCGTGCTACATTTATTTATTATATATTTTTTCTATATTTTATATATATATATTTTTTTTTTTGGTTTAAGTCTATTTTCTTTTGTTTCACGTAACTACGGTGATTGAGGATGGGACTCTGTAGACACAGGTGGAGGACTGAAGCTGCTGCTGCTGCTCTGCTACGCAGGTGGTGTAGACTTAGTGTACGTCTGACCTATTCCTGCTCCACTAAGAAGCTGAGATAAACATATAAACAGGGATTCCTATAGCTCTCTGCAGAGGTCCTATGGGAGTGTAGACAAGGTTTAGACTTACTAAGGAGTCCAGTATGAACTGGTAACTCTACACCCACAGTGGAGCCCCAGGCTAGATACAAGCTCCCTCTTCAAACAGGCTGTTTGATGCTGTTGACAGGGCAGTGATGGCTGGGTTTTGGCCCGCCCTTGGGCTCGGTCTTCTCTTTCATTGGAGAGGAACCCGTAGGCAGGATCAACAATGGGTTTTCATCTGTCCACTTTTACAGGACCATCACCTCTACACTGGTGTTTATTGTTTACTTTTTTGATGTGCCCTCCCCCTCTAGTAAACACTAGTCTTTTCTATACAGCCTGTTCAAAGTAGGAATGTTGTGCCGTTATTACGCCATTCACCATTGGTGTGTAGGTGTGTGTCAATGGGATTAGTTTGTTTCTGATCAACAGTTGGCCCATCATTGTATGAATATGTGTGCATGGTTGTGTAAAGCACTTTGAGTGGTCGGAAGACTAGAAAGGCGCTATGTAAGTGCAGTCTATTTACCATTCTTTTGCTTACAGAACACTGGCATTGTTGTGTATTTGTTTGGTATTTGTGTAAAAAAGTCTTCTTTATGGAATTATTGTGGGATCTCTGTTTAAAAAGGGCTTATAAGTAACAAAGACTACGAAAATATTGTGGCTGTTGCCCCTGGCTAGGAGACTGAAGCTGCTCCAGGTAAGGCTAAAGAGGATGAATTGATCCGGATCTAGATTTACACTGAAATTGCCTTCTTTCTTTTTGACTGTTCGGCTACGGTTCATAAAAACAGAAGACTACTCAGTTTTGTCTGGCTTTTTCTTTCCAGCCTTACAAAGACAATGGTGAAATGGAGAAGCCACTGGGCTAAGCATGCTGGAGCTAGGCAGACAGGCGTATACACAAGAATGTGCATATATGCAGAAACAGTGCAGGAAAGAAATGTCTCCAACGTAGTTTGTTGCACTCATTCAGATGTTGAAAGGGAGTTTGCACAGTTATTACAGCTACTCTTCTATCTCCTAAAGCCCCCCTGAATGCCAGCTTGGCTTTCCCCCTAACAGCCCCCCTCACGCGCTGAGAGGTCAGATGTCAGAGGTCCCCCGTCTAATTGTGATGATAATGTCACTCAGGCTGGAGGGAGTGGGGTGGGGTTGCTCTGCAGGAGATAATGTCTTTGGAAGGTGGAATTGGTGGCGAGGGTGGCGAGAGCGACGAAGAGGAGGAGAGAGTGGTCTGGTCCAGAAAGAATGTCATGTCATATTTCCTGTAATCCCTCGTCCCTTGCTCTGAAAACACCGCACTCACTCCGAATGCACAATCCCTGTTGCCATAGCAACCTCACAGATGAACAAGCAAGCCTGACACCCAACCAATCACCCCTCCCCACCCCCACCCTTGGTCCCCATGGCTATTTGTCATGGCTTGGCTGGGTTTATTTAGAGGCAAATTAACTATGTCTGGAATCCAGTGTGTCACTAAAAAATGAAACACAAATGTGTCACAAAGACGGCTTTGAACGGGTTGAGGAAAAAAGTTGATCATAGAGCTGAAAAATACAAAACAGGCTTAAATTCATCTGGAGCCACTCTGTAATGTGGGCTGATGAAAGCTAAAGCTACAGTCTTAACAGGATGTTGTTCCCCAAAGACCACTGTGACTCTCTGTGGACAGAAAATAACTTACAATTTATTCCAGGAAATATGTGTCCAAGTACATGTTGATGTTGCACTACAGATATTAAACTACTAGAGATATTATTATATTTGGAATAATGTGTCTTAAGCTATGAGAATGAAGTGCACTGGTGTTTATTTGTGTGTGTTAGTGTACATACCTAAATGTGTGTGTGGGTGTGTAAGAATGACGATAGTAGCTATGCCTGATAAATTATTTGTCCTCTCTTACAAATGCACACTGAACTGAGAAGCCAAAACACACATTCTTTTGTCTAGACCCGACTCATTGCCAACGTGCTACTCCCATAACACACAAATCAGAGTGCTATCAGTGCAAAGACTGTGAGAGACCTGCAACTTTGTCCTGGTGTATTGAAAGTGTCCTTATCAGGCTCTTTACAACCTTGTGGATTCCACTGCTTCTGGGAAAACCGGGACAGGAACTATGCCTTTGCCTGAGCTCCGCCTTATTTGTGGAGGATGTGGGAGGCAGGTGCAGACTGCTGTTGTGCAATGGGTCTCTGAGTCATATTTCGTGAGTGCTGACTTCTGACCTTTGAGGAAGAGAGTGCAGCAGATGAGGAGGAGGTCTTTGAGTGCAGCAGAGGAGGGATGGCCAGAGTGGGTAATCTCTCTGTGTCAACACATATGAGGACTTCTGCCAGCTGCAGCCACGGCACCATGCATCTGTCTGCATCTGTCAGTGTATCTCTGGGTGTCTGGCATCTACCTCTCTTGCCAGACTGCCAAAACAACTGTACTGTTTTGCTCATGGGACAAGCCCGTATAACACACACACACACACACACACACACACACACACACACACACACACACACACACACACACACACAGGCCATTTCACACCACTCAATAGTTGTGGTCATCCTTCAAAAGCACATGCATTAACAATTCCTCTTAACACATTTTTAAGATTGTTACACAAAGGCACCACTGCAACAAAGCAAACACATGCAACAATCACTACACGCCCAAAAAACAATGAAAAGAAACTTACAACCAGCCTTAGCCGTTGAGGAAGGGTAGTATTGTGAACACATAAAAGAGAAGATCCAAAGGAAACATTATAGAAGAAGTAAGAAAGAGATGACAATAGTCAAACATTTAATGAAGAAGAATTTAAAGTGCAAATGACCTCAAAAACTTGACATTCTAGCAGTGCACTGTGACCTTCTGACTAAAACTGATTTATGGAAGTATGTTCCATCACCTATACTTGTGTAACACAATGCCGGTTTTCCTGCTTTCTGGGTCACTGCAGGGAAACCTGAGCTCATCTGCTCCTATACAATAGCAGCTTCTCTGCCAGAGGTCAAAAGATGGCTCACCTGTGAACAAAGAGGCTGTAATCTCTGACACGGTTCATACACAGAGTCAAGCTCCACAAAGCAACAAGTATAGAGTCTTTCTATCTAAGAGGGCATTACCTAAGACAAACGGAGAGAAAGAGCAACAACAACAGAACTACTATCTTTTGACTTGGGGCAAAATTTCAACTTCTATATTGCATGACAGAAGCTAATAAACAAATTCTTGTGAACCTGAGGTTCGAAATAAATATTAATCTTTGGGAAAACTCTTACAACTCTGTCTCTTTCACTCAACACAGGCCACTTTCCCTCACCCCCTCCTCCCACAAGCAAGCAGGAACCAGCTCTACTCCTTTATGTGAGTCCATACTGACACCACACTGCCAACAGGAGCCCCCCCCCCCCTTCAAACAGCCTCCTCTGCTCTGCTCTCCTCAGCTTGGCTCTCCCTTTCTCAGCAAAGAGCCAGATTGGGGGTTGGGGAGCGTTTTGTGGCCCAAATAAAAGAGCTAAAGTAGTCAGAACTCCTTTGTATGAGAGTGTTGGGGGGGAGCAGTGACCCAAACAGCTAGTCTTTCAGGCCTGGGCTTACACGGACCAACAGGCCTGGGCTGTAGCCTGGCAACAGTAACCCATGGTGAGAGAGAGAGAGCCGGAGCGAGAAAAAGGGGGTGTTGGAAGACAGGGTTTTGTAAGGACAGTTGGAGCACTTCAGAGGACTGATCCCCTACATATGCAGGTAGCACTAAGCAGCATGCGGGACCAATTCAGTCTGGTAATTAAGTATGATCATGTCTAAAAGGATGCATGTTTCACAGTTTATAGTGCAAAGATTGTTTCAACAATTGTGCTTAAGACACACAATGGAGGTATTGAAATCTCCAGAAAGAGGTTTCCTGAGCCCCCCCAGAGCATGAATAATAAACATGTGAATTTAAGGACATTTAACTTTCTTC